TTTCATAAACATTTACAGAGATTTTGGGCTTCCACTCATTCATTGTGGGCACCCACTTCTAAACAACCTGCCTCCAGAAACTCTGGGGGCTGTGAGAAATGTCAGTAGTTCTAGAAAGGCTTCAGGCCTTTTGTTCATCGGGCCTGACGGGACGGCAGTCAAGAACAACATGTTGGTCAGTCCCGCAACTTTCATTTTAAAATCCACCAGCTGCTCGGCAGGAGGGTGGGCAGTCTCCTCCTGCGCAGTTAACCGCCGCCAAAAACCCGCCGTGGGTCAGCAGTGGGTCGGTTCCAATTTGACAGTTCACCCGACAACATAGTCCCACTAAGCCCTGCGGCCCAGTGATAAGGAACTGTGCTGCCCAGCCAGTGCTCAGTTCAGACCCAGCCCCTGCTCGCGGGGAGAAACACGGGCCCTCCTGGCTCATGTACCGCCCTGGAGGCTCCCACTGGATGGCACATAACGGCATCTAAAAAGACGTCGTTTTAGAAGATGTGCTACACATAAACGTATTTTTTAGGTTTTATTTTCATTTGGTTTCTAGACACTTACTGATTCATCCCCCATCAGTGAATATTGATCTTGTCAACTATAGATCTGTAAGATGCTGCTTCAGTTTAGATCTTGAATTTCATTGTGCTTTGGATTCCAAAGCTGAAAGCAGGGTGTTGTGTGGGTGCAGTGAGCTGGTTACTCAGAAAGATTCTTCTTGTGGGCGTGGTTTACATATGGGGAGGACTCCAGGGCAGTTTGGTTGACTGGTTGCTTTTTGTGGTATTTTTTTAAATCCAATTTGATTTTCCCTATTTAGGTCATGAGACGTGTGTGGAACTTCTGCTGGAGCAGGAAGTCTTTCAGAAGATGGAAGGAAACGCTTTCAATGCGTTACATTGTGCTGTGTAAGTGGGGCTGGCGAGCAGCGCTGACGGGCTCGGTGAGGGGCTCCCTGCCGGGAACGCGACTGACCCCGCTTGCTTTCCGCAGGATAAATGACAACGAGGGTGCTGCTGAGATGTTGATAGATACGTTAGGTGCCAGCATTGTCAACACCACAGACGCGAAAGGAAGGTAGGAGCCCAGCGAGGCACACAGGGTCTCCTGCCCCTGGGGGGACATTTTACTAACCTCTTATGTGGGTGTTTGCATTAAAAGTAGGTTTGAGGAAAAAAGTAGGCTTTTAAAGGGAGCTCTGGTAGCTTAGTGGCAAGAAGCTGCACTGCAATCCCAGAGGTGTGTGGTTCGAATCCACTAGATGCTCTGCTGGAGCAGGAGAGACAGTCTCCTCTGGTACCGGTAAGATCTGATTTGACAGTACACACACACACAAAATAATAATTTTTTTTTTAAAAAAGTAGATGTTTAATTGCAGATATGATTGGTTATAAAACTATTTTTATATTATCAAAGCAACTATTTTATTTTTTAGTCATCCCTCCCTTTAAGGTGTAAAATTGCTGTTTTGTAAGAAGTGTACCTATTATTCAAAGCTATTACTAGAATTAACTGTAGGGTATAACGGTTTTTAATAGGTAGCAAAATTTAGGTCAAGGTTTGTGCCTTTCAAAATCTCCTTGAATGATTGAGTATTATTTTAGATCTGCCCTTATCATACTAAAGCCCTTCCTTTCGGCAGAAGGCTGTGTCCGGGCAGCACCTGCAGTCAGATGCAGAGCCGCGTCCGTTTTTACACTGTGCTTCCGTTTCTGCTCTGCAGGACCCCTCTGCACGCAGCCGCCTTCACAGACCACGTGGAATGTTTACAACTGCTGCTCAGCCATAACGCTCAGGTCAACTCTGCCGACTCCTCTGGGAAGACGCCCTTGATGATGGCTGCAGAGAACGGACAGACAAACACCGTTGGTAAAGAGGCGGTGGCGGGCGGGACTCCCCTCAGAAGGCTGATCGTCTTCTCATTTGAAGTTCGTGTCTTTCCCCCGGAGTATCTCCTCACTCCTGCCGACAGCCCCCGGCTGGTTTGGACGGCAGTGTGTACATGTCATCAGTGGGTGAACCGTGTGCTTCAGGAGCAGGCCAGTGTGGTGGTGCGGTTAGGAGCGCTGGAGCGCCACGGCCTGAGTCCCCTGTATCTTCACTGGGGAAGGAACGGGGATGAGCGACTGTCCTGTAGGGCTGCTGTGAGGGTTCAGGGTTAGTGTCAGCTGACGGCACTCAAACCCGAATGTCGTGAGATAAAGGGCCGTGCTGCCATTGTCTCTCGGTGTCAGCACAGCAGGTCATGCCTGCGACTGAATCACATCCCTCTCACGGGTTACTGCCTTTCTCTCGCACTTGGATTTTTGTCGGAGGGCCGTTTCTGCCTCGGACCTCTGTTCCTCTGCAGTGAGACTTGATGCGCTTTCCCCTTTCCCCAGAGATGCTGGTGAGCAGCGCGAGTGCAGATCTGACTCTACAGGACAGCAGTAAGAACACCGCCCTCCACTTAGCTTGCAGCAAGGTATGTGCACATGCTGAGGACCTGTAGTTACAATAAGCGCGAGCAGCGGGGTTGAAAGCTTTTCCGCTTCATGAAAATGGACAGAGCGAGGGGTGGAGCATCTTGGGCTGCCTCTCAGCCAGTGTTTTGAGCAGACAGTGCCTCGTGAGGCCCAGTTACTAACAAAACCAAGTGGAATCATGAGCCTAAATGCAGAGTCCGTTTCTTTGCTCTTAATCCTTCCCCTCTTCCGTTACTCCCCCACCAGCACATGTGGGCAGATATCCAGAACATTAAGAGAGTTCCCAGCACGTGCATGGTGATGTGCATATCGTACCCACAGGGTGGGGTGGGTTAGCTGTGTCGGGCTGATGGTGGTGCGTCTCTGAGAGTAAATTACGTGATTGTAGGGTCACGAAACTAGTGCCTTGTTAATACTGGAGAAGATAACAGACCGGAACCTCATCAATGCCGCCAACGCCGCCTTGCAAACGTGAGTTACCTGTGCGGTCAGCTGTGGGGGCCGGGGCCAGTGGTCACATGACAGCTGGCCTGTTGACTATGCAGCTTAACATGTGAACTCGTCTCATAGTCAGAAAACAGTTAAAAAGAAGTGTTTCTAACTGACTAAGCACATTTGTAAAATCATCACCATTACAAGTTAAAGGGCATGTTTAAAAGTTTTTAGAAGACGGGAGAAGGTGCTTCCCCCTCACAGCATTTGCTCACATTCAGAGCAGCGCTCGGCTGTGTGTTTATGGAAAGCGGCTGGCTTAGTGCAGAAGACGCGGAAGAGCCGAGCAGCCTCCTTGTGCCTGGGAGCTGACGAAGCTCCGAGTGAAGCACTTTCTTGCCGTGACAGGCGTCTCCAGCCCAACCTGCAGGGTGGAGCCCTTTGTCTTCTCTCTGTTCACTGGCTGTTTTCGCTTTGCAGCCTGGTGAGGAGAGAGATTTCTAATACTGGTTTCTAGCCAGGGGTCATTCTGACCCTGTGAGGCTCCCAGAATTAATCATGAACCTTTAACTCTTCTCAGATATGATTGCCAGCGTTGCTTCTTTACAAAGAAACAACAGAGCGGTTCGGTTAGTTGGTGAAATTTCGTTTAGCCTTGGAAGGGAAGAGAACAGTAGCGTTTGCCTCCCCATTCCCTTCCTCCTTGCTGTTAGAGCTCAGAGCGGCAGGTGTGCATCTGTGTGTGCAGACACGTGTGCCCGGTCATGTTTGTGCGTGTCCTTCTCTCCCTAGCCCTCTGCATGTCGCCGCCCGTAATGGGCTGACCACGGTGGTGCAGGAGCTTCTGGGGAAAGGAGCGAGTGTGCTGGCCGTCGATGAGAATGGTGAGTGAGCTCCGTAGCTGGCTTCCTTGACTGCTCTGGCATCTTACGAGAGGTTTTACCTTGTAATGATCCAAGTAAACTTTTTTTAATTGGTCAAAGGAGAAAGTTGACACGAATATTGAATTGGACTTCCTTTGTGGCAAAAAGATTGAGTGCAAGAGACAAGAAAGCAGGTGAATATTTGAACTGAAAAACTCTGATAGTGTCCATTAAACCAGTGGTGGTGTTTCCTTTTAGCGCATTTGCTGACCTTAGCCAAGGAACTTAGTCCTCCCCTAGATGTTTGTCACAGTCCTGGGTAAGTGTCGGCTCACTAAATCCTGTTCCCTTTTGCCCAGGTGAGAATACCACTATATCGGTTCTCTCCTTTTTTGGTCTGAAATAACGTTTTTGCCCTACAATCAGCAAACAGTCAAGTATTGTTCATGTAACTAATGTTCATAGCAGCGTTATTTACAATCACAAGAACTTGGAAACAGCCCAAATGTCCATCAGCTCACAGATGGATTGAGAAATTGTGGTACCTTCACACGATGCAAATACTGTGCAGCATTCAGGAGCAATAATTTTGAAAAATACTGCATAACATGGAAGAGGCTAGAGAGCACTATACTGAGTGAAGTAGCTCAGTCTCGTTAGGACAAATAATGCATAAGGCCATTATTGTAAAAATAGATGGGTAACTACTGTGATGGTGGATAAAATGTCCAAAGAGGGAAGGGAAGTGAACAGGGGCTTGAGGGTGGGAAGGGGGAGGTCAGGAAAACTTAGACCCACCTGGTGCTCCTCGGGAGAACCCCATGAAGACTCCAGCCTCACCTCACACCCTGCTGGGCAGTGTGCTCGACCCTGCATGGGGCCTCCCACCTGGAGCAGACTCAGTCGCAGTGGGGGACAGGAGTATCTTGGGATGCCTGGACCATCCTGGACAGCCTGGAGATGGTGGCTACTGGCAGCCTGTGGGACTGTCCAGGACCCAGGGTGTCACCTGGTCTGGGCCCCGCTGGCGGGTGTGTGCTTCTCTGCCACGTCTTTCCTGCAGTCGTGGCATCGCCCATCATCTGTCGATGAAAGGGAAGTTTTCAAATTCTCCTCACCTGTTTATCCACGTTCTCCTCAGTGGACTTTCTGTGGACAGTTGACCCCAGAGTAACGTTACCTTGACTTTAGGTTTCTGTCACTGAGCATGTGCCTTCGTCACCGAGTTCTAGCGTGGAAGCCCCTCACGCCTGTGAATGGGCAGTGCGCGCAGCACCCTGAAAGCTGTGCTGCGGTGTGGGCGTGGTGTGCGGGCGCAGGCCCCTCAGTGCACGCAGATGCCCAGAGAAGGGGTGTTAGGAAAGCCTCAGGCGCCCCCGCTTAACCGTTGCTGCTCCCGGCTTCTGTGGCTTTTCCTTCGTTTCAGTAATTGAAAAGTTCTGAGCCGTTCTAGTCGTTTACTGTAAGCTGTCTAACCTGTGTTACATTTAGAATTGGAGAGCTTTGCGCTTGTGCCTTAAGGAACCAGAGCGGTGCATCTCCGGCTGTGTTACTGGTGCATTCTGTCTCCCCTCCAGGCTACACCCCAGCCTTGGCCTGTGCTCCCAACAAGGACGTGGCCGACTGTCTGGCCCTCATTTTGGCCACCATGATGCCTGTCTCATCCAGCAGCCCCTTATCGTCCCTGACATTCAACTCCATTAACCGCTACACCAACACCTCAAAGACAGTCAGCTTCGAAGCGCTGCCCCTCGTGAGGAGCGAGCCGAGTTCCTGTTGCACTTTCAACAACATTGGTGGCGAGCAGGACTACCTGTACACGGACGTGGACGAGCTCAACGACTCGGACTCCGAGACCTACTGAGGCCGCGGCGGCTGACGACGTGCAGACCGCGCGCTCACAGGAGCTCCAGACTGCGCTGTCTCTGCGAACGGGGCGCTTTGTCATTCACAGATTCTCCCCACGGCAGGATCGCAGCGTGAACAAATGTAGGAGACGTAAGGACATTAGGAAGGAAGAGGAATTGTAAAGGCACGTTTTGCAGAAGGAACTGCTAGAGAGTCTGGACAGCCTTGCCAAGAGCAGGGCGTCGTGGTGTCACTGCTCTGTGGAATTGCTTCTGACTCAGCAGTGCCAGGAGTCGGTGGGACACTGCAGCCCAGTCTGCTTATGTAAACAACACTGTTAGGAGGAGAGACGCGCACACTAAATTTACAGCGGATTAGTAAATCTACGGCTAACCCGAAAGGCAATAAACGTTTGGGACAGTCGGCACCCTGTGCACAGCACATTGCCAAAGGACCAAATAATACAGAGCTGGGGTTTTTAAATAAAATTCCGTTTTGTGGAAATCAATGTAGGTGAAATGAGACAAAACCTAATCCAAACTTTAATATTTGAAAATAAGAGTGAGATTTGGTTTTAAATGTTGATTCTTTTTTTTTAAAAGAAAACATCTGGAGCCTTCCATGCTGTATTAAACCATGAGAGAAAGCAGATGTATTTTTACATTTTGTTTCTTTTACATAAAAATTTTTAAATTCCAACTTTTCTAATACGAGGATTGAAAGCCAGCCAACTGAGTGCAGTCAGGGGGGACATCTTTGGGCCTGGCCTGTTAGCATTGCCCAGGTTTTAATGGTTTGTGTCTGAAATTCAGCTCTTTAAAGTCCTGAAAGAACAGAAGACGTTCCCTGTCTTGCAGCTCAGCAGTCCTGGGGAATGGAGTTCCCACCTGGCTGCCCTGCATGGCACACCCCCCTTCAGGATCCCCTGCCTCTACAGTGGGCTGCGAGTTTGTTTATTTGATTTTTATTTGATTTGAAAAATGAAGAATCAAAAGGAGAGAGAAAAATCCCTTGATAATAATCGTAAGTGAAACCCGTCAGGTCTCGTGGAAGGCGCTGCTGCACTGGGCAGCATTCAGGACCCTCGGGGGCCTGTTCAGATGTCCATTTGGTAACACGCTGCTGCTCCTGGGGTGAGACCCGTGTGTGAAGCCTGGGCGGCCACCCTTCCTGATAGGAACGGAGGGAGGGACGGCGAGTGTCCAGGCTGTGAGGGGGTGATCGCCGTGGCCCTGCTCTTCCTGTGAGAGGGACTCGGCGTGTGGGATCTGACGAGTTCAGGTCCGTTCCGGAACTGCAGTGAGACTATATGCCCAATGACATTTTATGCTTTTTGTATCGTGAAACTGGAAACTTTATGACACTGTAAATTACCAGCTGGTTTTTCTGAATATAAAGTGTGAAAACAGAACAGTATTTTGATCTATTTGATAATTTTGTGGGGTTTTTGAAGAATTAATGAGCATGTACATAGGAATAGTGACTGCTTGAATACTGTATTTACTTGCACTCTTTCCGTACATCAAGATTCCTGTATATTTTAGAGTATAATAAAAACACAGATGTGAGTTGTATTTAATGAATAATGTATTTGTATCTGTGTATATTATCTAAAAACTATAAAGTTTCTAGGGCATTGACTACTAGATTTTAAGCATTTTTCTAAAATAATTACAGAAATTATAATTCCATCTTTTCTTTATAATATAAAGGAATCATGATGAACCCTGCCTAATTATTAGTGGTAGGAGGCGCGATGCATTTTACAGCCACTGGACTACATTTTCTATGAAACCTTTTGAGAGAAAAACAAGAGGACCTTCACGTCTACATCGGCATGCTTTCCTTTCCTCTTAGGAACTCTCTTCAGAATTCCTGAGGGAATTTTCTAGAATCTACCTGAGGTTCATGCAGTCTAACCTCTTCCCCAGTGCAGGAGTCCCTTCTCCAAGGTGACTTCCATCCTGACCACTTGCAGCGACTACCTCACCACGCAGTCCACTCAGTTCTCGAGCAGCTGTCCCTCTTAGAAAGCTCTTCCTTAAATGGAATTGCAGCCTCTCTCCTGGTGACTTCTGCCCAGGGGCCCCAGCTGACCTCAGAAAGAACCCCAAGAATGTTGGAAAGGCAAATCTTGGGCCCTCTGCCATGTCTTCTCTTTAAAGGATGCTTGGAGCGATTTCCAGAAAGGTTCATTAGACACACTGGTAGAGTCATCACAGCTGATGGAAGCCAAGCTGTAGCTGAGAGGAACAGGCTGGTTTTCCGTTCTGCACATACCAGGACTTGGCCTCAGTCACGCAGCTGCAGACGACGGTGTTCCTGGAAGTGTTAGTGAGGGGGCTCTTGGCAGTTGGAAGCCCTCTAAGAAGCAGCTGTTTGATTGCTGTGTGACTGCATCCTGTGAGAGTCCGTCCCCCAGCTCGATCCAGCTACCTCTCTCTTAGTCTTCAGCTGAGGAGGGGAAACTCCAATCTCCTGTCTGAACTAGGATTTGGACAGCACTGGTGGTGTCGGCGCGAGCCCAGCTCAGGGCACTCCATCCGTCGTGTGCACCCCCTTCACGCGGCACAGCGTCGGGCCTTTCTCTGTAGACAGTGCTACCAGGATCTTATCCTCACACAGAAGGAAAAGCCTGTTTGCTTGTTGAACCTCTGCATGGAAGGTGGCATCCGAAATAGCTGATCTGTAATACCGACTTCTGCACTTAGGACTACTTCAGGTAAATAAACGGTGGTGATGGCAAATGGTCTCCTGTATCCAGACACTCCGTTCAGACAGTGCCATTGAATTAGAAAACCCAGGAGTCAAATATTCAGGAGGCCTCCGAGTGTAGCTGTAAATTTCGGGTTTAATTTGGCCTATATTGGACCTTTTACTGAAATAAAGCTTTTTAATGAAATTAATCAAGTGTATTTCTCTTTCCTATACCAATTTTTTAACTCCTTGTATCTTAAAATCTGTAACCAGTATTCATTTATTACTGTTTTCAAGCATAGTTTCTGTTCATAACTTTCTTAATGGAATCATTTTAATGCTGTTTTCAAATTTAGACGAAACTATCTAAATGGACATTTGAAATAATACTGACTGGAATGTTTATTGCATGTCTGCTTCTTGCTCGAGGATTGGCTTGGGAGAAGTAGAAAGTACAGTTGAGGTAGGGAGTGAATTACCAAGGCAGGCCAGAGAATAACAGAACTGCCTCTGGTGCTCGTGGGACACATTTCTGGGCAAGGTGACATTTAAGCTAGATACTGAAGAACAAACTGGGACAGGTAGAGGGGAAATGGCATTCTAGAAGATGATATAACCGGTGATAGAAATAGAACTATGTGCTGGGGCAGGTGTAGCGGGTTTTAATAACCTTGCTCCAAACAGCCTGCAGGTAGGAAGGACGCAGGTGCCCGCACAGCATTTGCCGGGTCCCAGGTGAGGGCTTGGGTACATCCCCAGTCCCCGCAGCTGTGGGAGGTGGTGTGGTGTTTATGCCACTTCCCAGGAAATCAGAATCACTCCTCACAGGTGACTCGGCCACCGTTGTCTGCGTTCAGATCGTCTTTGAAATCAGCCGTGATGTTAGAGTTGGGCGCACACGTGACTAGGAAATTTTGGGGGCCCCTTTAGTTTTCTTTTTAGAAGAAATAAATGTGGTCGATGCAGATGTTTCCTGACCTCCCATGTCCAGTGAGGGTGTGGCACGGTCGGGGTCCTTGCAGCCTCACAGTGCACACCCCACAGTGCCCCGTCAGGGTCTCTGCAGCATCACAGACAGTTCGCCCCAGAGGGCCCCAAGTTTGGCTTACTGCAGCCTCATGGTGTGTTTCCCACAGTCCCGATGCCGGGTTCCTGCAGCCTTGGTGCACGCCCTACAGGGCCGCAGGTCCAGATCAATGCAGCCTCACTGTGTACCCCACGAGGTCCCAGGTTGGGGTTCCTGTGACCTCACGGTGCGCCCTGCGGGGCCCCAAGGCTGTGGCTCTCTGGGGAGCACATTGCCACATCATTCTCACATGCAGTGGTTGGTAAATTTAAACCTCTGGTCTTTTTAAGTTTATAACAGCTCACTTTAACCACTGCACCACCAAGGTACAGTGGTTAAAACAGGAAAGACTCACACACCCCCGTGACATGGCTTGGCAAGGCAGGTACCATGACGTTGCTTGTGGCTGCATGTGCCCAAGTGCCCACAGTCAAACTGAGTCAGGGCCAGCTGGCGGGACCTACCACCAGCCCCGGTCAGCGGTGACCCTCCTGGATAAGCCCATCTGCGTCTCACTCAGGCTGGGCCTGTACAGGATTACAGAAGTCAGCCAAAGGGCCAGCTTGGTGGGCACAGTAACAAGGTGGGCGAGCCTCAACAGACAGGCGGTGCTGGCCCCGGTGCCTCACGTCACCACGGTGGCAGGGCCCAGCGTCACCCAAGTGAGGCTAAGCACTGCTCTTGGAGGGAACATGCCTTGAGTTTAGTTTCCATGATTCCCGAGCCTTTGGACGATGAGGAACCAGGGGGTGGCTTGTTTTCAGTTCATTGTGGGCATGCTCAGTGGTTTGCACTTTCTGAATATCGCCTCCCTGGGTGGTTCAGGGGTCCAGCAAGAAAATTCAGGGACCAGAACAATACCTTAAATCAGAAATTTGTCTGTGGCAAGGCCTCTTGCCAATCCAGTATCAAAGCAGTATCGCCAAGTCTCCTGATCTAACGGGATGTAGAAAAAACAGCCTGCTGGTCAGGAGCAACTACTGACCTCTTAGAAGATAAGGGAAAGACTGTTGATAATAAGACACGTTCAGATCTACAGGATGGGCTCCCCACCTCCTCGCCAGCACTGCGTCTATCTTGACATGTTCTAATCTACAGGCCGGGCTCACCACCTCACCTCGCCAGCACTGAGTCTGTCTGGACACGTTCTAATAGGCCATGTCATGGCATTTTCCATTGCTTGCTGTGCCTCTGAAAATTGGACAGTGACTAAGGAAGACGGAAGAAGAATCTGTGCTTGTTAATTGTGACGTTGGAGAAGAACACGGAGTATCTCGTGGACTTGGAAAAGGACAAGCAAGTCTGCCTTGGAGGAAGTGTAAGCGGGGTGCTTCTCAAAGAAGCTTCATCGCACTGCTGGGGTCATGTGAGGAGGGGCCAGGCCTCGGGAAAAGACGACACGCTGAGAAGGGTGGAGGGTCGGACATCAGGAGGAAGGGCCTCATAGACGCAGGGATCGGCTCGAGCGTGGTGGAGCACCCGTCACAGCAGCACAGGTCAGATCTGTAACGCGCTTTCTCACTTAGGATGATGTTCGTCAATAAATACGTAAAACAATGTCATAGTAAATAAAATATGGCGCCCCGCCCCGTGGCCTCGTAGTTTCCATTCTAAGACATTGACTAGACTCTGGATTTAAAACGGAAGCCAGAGCCAGATCTAGTTTGGTTTGGTTTTTATTTTAATGAAAGTGTACAGAGACTTTGGATTTGCATTTATTCATTGTTGCACTTTTCTCCCTGCCCTCCCCTCCCTCCAGTTCACTTTTTTCTTTGAAAAGTAAAAAAAAAAAACAAAACCAACTCAACTCTTTTACTGTTGTACAATCCCCGCCCCAGGCCACTCTACTGTACAGCTTTCATTCTGGACTCTTGTCGTGAGATCTAGTTTAAAAATACTCATTAATAATAGCTGTATCAACTCCCTTACGTGAACATACGTAATACACAAACACAGGCCATGTGCGCGTGGGTAGCTCTGAGCCCTGGTGGCCTGGTCTATGGGAAGCCACACTGGTCACCCAAGGACGGCACCTCTCTGGTGTTTCACACCCGACCCATCACAGTGAACCCCCAGTTCCCAGGCAGCTGCTAGCCAGGCAGAACCAGCTCACACTGGTTCCTGGGGGCTTTGCCATCCTCCCAGGCAATGGGACCGACCTGCTGGGACAGGGGCTTGAACCCCTGTCCACAGACTGCACTGCGCACCATCCCGTAGTAAGTGATGCTCACAGGCCCATAAACCTGCAGAACCAGCCTTGAGAGACTGGATGTGTCCACAGCTGACCTCCTCGCCCTCCCTGGGCGGCCAGTTCAGAAAACCCACCCTCAGGTGGTGGCTGGGGGGCCGTGTGTGCACTGGAGTAACACAGCTGTGGGCTGCCCCCCCGCGAGGGTGGGCATGGGGCCTCCATCCTCCCCCAGGCCTTTCCAGCACCTCTCATCTCCAGAGCCTGTCACGGGTTCACATGGTGGGAAAGACGGGGAGGACTGTTGAGAACAAGGGCGGAAGTGACGGGCGAGGAGTCAGAAGCTCACGGTTCTAACCCCCCAGCCTCTGCTCCCAGGCAGTTTGCAGCCTCGGAAAACGCCCCAGAGGGCAGCTAGGGGTCATTTCCAATGCCACAAACGGCTTTGTCTCCAACGCCTGCCATGAGACCTTTCCTTCCCGCGTGATGTGACGTGGTTGCAGGGAGTGGGCACAGTGCCCGGTGAGCCTTTGAGGACACACTGGCAGCAGGTGGACCTGGGAACTGGCTTCCCGAGCCAGGTGCCCGGAGGGAATTCTGCTCTGAGGAAACAGGCCTGGTGGACAGTTATGGGCCTCGGTTCACCAACCTCTGTCTCCCTTCTCCAGGTCACAGGGCCCAGGGGTCCCGGGAGCTCCACCTTCCCCTCTCTCGGTCCCCAATTCTTGGGTCCAGGCTAAGCCTGTGGTTTTCTGACCCAATGGGAACGTGTGACAAAGTGTGACAGTCAAGAACATTCGACAGCGCCCCGAGCCAGCGGTCAGTGCAGGGTGGGCGTGGGGTTGGCACACAGTGGGCACGAGGTCAGCACAGGGTGGGCGTGGGGTGGGCACAGGCCCCAAGCAAAAACCCCGCAGGCCGCCTCTGACCTCCCGGGAGTGGAGAGAGGCCTTTCCTTGGGGATCTGACCGGAAGGAAGGAATGAAGCCCAAACTGGGGTAACTGTTTTTATTGTAATGGGGGAACGTGTCTGCTGAAGACGCAGGAACAGTGCAGAAGGGGTCGGGATGGGGGGTGAGGAAGGGGGACGAGGAGGGGGAGGACAACGAGGCGAGGGGGAGTGGGCCCTTGGGAACTAGGAGACTGTCCAGAACCCCCTGAGCTTCCGGATCCAGCCAGGCCTGAAGCACCTGCTTCGTGACTGGCGGCTCCGGCCCCTCGGAGGTGACAGCCATCATGCTTGTTCTAAGTGACCAGGTCAGGGGACGGGGAGCTGAGCTCTGTGCTGCCAACCTGAAGGCTCTCCCGTCATGGAGCACAAGGCCCTGGGGCGTCCCGTCCCCCAGCCGGTTGCCACTTGATGTCCCGTCACTGTGACGGTCACAGATGCCCCTGGCGTCCTGAATTTGAGGCACAGCTGACGAAGCGTGGCTGTCCCTGAAATTGCTGACTCCTTTCTCGCTGGGCTCCTGGCACCTGGTGGCCACCAGCACCGCTGCCAGTCCCCGTTTCCACTGGAGAAGCTGCTGTTTCTGTGTGGTCAGGGACAGCTCCAGGGGCTCTGCTCACAAAGGCAGGGGGTGTATCCAGCCGGTGCTTCCTAAACCTTTCCCGTGTCAGTGAAGCCGTAAGGGCCGGATTCTCTGATCTGAGGCATCCCGGCACGGGACACGGAGAAGCATTTTCAGAATCGTCTGGGGTTCTGGGCAGGGAAGCGGCATGGGCGGCCACCACCACATCCGGAGCTCTGGCCAGCCTGCCAGCTCACTGCTCCCGGCCACCCACCCCGCGTCACAAGGGCTGCCCCAGGGCTTCCCCGGAAATTCCAGGCCTGAGTCAGGGTCAACGAGACGGAGCCACCCTCGTGTGAGAACACGGCGGCTCAAGGTCAAGATGGTCCAGTGTCCACACAGGGATGGGTAAACTGAGGCCCAGGACGGGAGTCTAGATCCTGTGCCCTGCTGGCCGAGTCGTAAGGCCCTGCACGGCCAACCCAAAGGCAGGTGGTTCAAATCCACCAGCTGCTTAGAGAAGAAAGATGGGCAGTCTCCTCCCATGTGATTTACAGCCTCTGAGAACCCGCTGGCCAGGGGCCAGTTCTGACTCGATGGTGATGAGTTGTGTTAAAGCCCAGGACTGGAGGAGAAAAACGTTTGTTTCCTACCGTTCTGTCTGTATGTGGATACACAGCTTTAAAGAAAATAAAAACAAGCCTTGAGAAGGAGAGAAAACTAAATTGGCCCAGTGGTTACGAGGCAGACTAGAGGGCCGTGGACTTGACTTATATTGTCTTAACAGGAGCTAGGCATGGAGTAAAAATCCCTCTTAGAAATCCCTCAATGGCCTGCAGCCTGGATGTCCTTGCCACTCTGAGTACAGTGTGTGGACAGTCATCTTCTCCCAAGGTGACTCTTCATCAGGGACTGCATGTGGGGGGTGGCCCCCGCACCATCCTTGTGGAGTGCTCTAAGACCTGGGAACAATTAGGAAAGGACTGGGCCACGCCGGCAGGGACAGAAGTTCTGTGCCTGCACACTGACCACTCCAGGCTCACCACTCTCCAAAGGCCGGGCATCTTTAGAGCCCTTGCCCCCATCCTCCAGCCATGCCCCAGCTGCCAGGCTGACAGACGCCCTGCAACGCTCCAGGACAGGGCAGCACTGTCCGCGGGTGCCCTGGGCCGTCAACTGCATGGAAGCATCTTGCTCCCATCGAGCCACTGGTGGTCAAAGCTAGCGTGACTGACTGCAGGCCTCGGGCCTGGGCGTGACACGGGGAGAAAGAATGTATTACTCACAACTTCCCATCGCTGCCCTTTGGCCGAGGAGTTTTCCAGTCCTCCGCTCCCCCTGGGGCCCTGCTTTCTTTCCAGTCCCGCTGCTTGCTGATGGAAAGGCAGCTGTGGAAAAGGTCTCCCGATTTTTAAAGCTGCTTCGCAGTGGCCACTTGTGGAATGCTGATGGTGCCGTTGCCCCTAGTTGATCTGGGCGGAGTTCTGGCCCACATGCGGGAGGGGTTCGGGGCAGCCCTGAGCCCCAGTGTGGTGCCCACGTCAGAAGGAATGGCCCAACTGCCCAGCCTGTGGTGTGCGACAGGCACCGCATTTATTGTCTGGGGTCTGAAAGCTGCGAGCGAGGAGGCTGGACGAAGGAGTAGCTGGTAAGAGAGAAATGTGACAACAGCAAAGGCGGCTCGGTGATGCCTCCCCGGGTGCCTGCGCCTCCTTGTGTGTTTCCAGGAGTTCCCAGCGTGGGACCTGGGCCCCCAGCGCTTCCTGCCCTTGCATCCGAGAGGGGCACTCCGGACCTGTGGCCTCTGGAAGGGCCCACACGGGGGCCAGTGTCCACCACATACTCTCCCCTAGTCCCTGTCGTACACGCGCCCATAGAGAGCCGCTGTGACCAGGCCTGAGGACAGCCCACTCTTCCTCATGAAGTACTGACCCTTCTCCCAGCCGATCTGGTCGGGGGTCCCCAGGGTCACCCCTGAGGTCAGGAACAGGGGGAAGACATAGGACGTGGTGAAGTTGCCCCAGAGGTGGAAGTCAAAGAGCCCCTCGGCCTGTGTGACCTCCTGCCTGCAGGTGTCAGGGCCGGGCCCACCGCACTTGACCAGGGCGCAGACCTGCACGTAGTAGGTGCCGTGCACAGTGTGGAGCCCGTCGAAGACCCCCAGGGCGTACAGCTCGGGGGACACGTGGGGCCTGCGGTAGAGCAGGGAGCAGCAGAGGCCGGGGGCGCACACGCGGAGCTGGCCTTCCCGGCCCCGCACGGGGACCAGCGTGAAGTTGTCATACATCATTGTGGCGTGGAAGGTGGGGACATCGTCCGTGCTCTGCCCAGGGGCGCCCCCACAGTGCACTGCCTGGGCATCCTTCTCACAGAACGGGGCGCTAGTCACGAGCTTCAGGAACTCTGCGTGGGTCGGACCCGGCTCAGCTGTCGTGTCCTCTGCACCGTGGATGCCCACGGGGTCTCTGGCTATCCGGGCAACGATCAGGTGCCCCCCGGGACTGTCCATGTCATGGTACCAAAAGGAGCGCTGAGGGGTGTGCACGCCGCTGCCGGTCATGCCCAGGGAGGGCTGGTGGACGTTGGCCGCCAGCAGGTTGATGCCCAGGGCCACGGCAAAGCCTTGCTGGATCTGGACAGCGGCCAGGAGCGGGAGCTGGTTCATCCAGGCAGTGGGGTACACCATGTGCCTCACCCCCGAGGCCTCGAGGAGGCGGATGCCAGGCTCCCGGAACAAGATGTCAAAGCAGGTGAAGACACCAAACTTGCCGGCGAAAGGTGTGTCAAAGGTGACGTGGTCCACCTGCGGAGGGCTGTCAAAAGCCGCCTCGAAGTACAGGTTGTGTTTGCGGTAGCGGGCCACTAGGGTCCCGTCGGCCCTAAACACGACGTTTGTGTTAAATTGGTACCTGCCGTCGCGAGGGCACCCGGGGTCGGCCCGCTGACAGGGCTCCTTTGTCCCCAGGTTGGCCACCAGGAACATGTCCCCCCTGAGGGCCATGCAGCTCAGGCGCCGGAGGACCTGGGGAAGGAGGGGACAGAAACCGCCCGTCAACATCCGGACTCTTACCTGGTGGTTTCCATGTCACACGCCTGAGATACAACAGTGACGACGACTGTAAGACGGGAAGAGAAGGCCACCACCGCTGGACGCGAAGGATCTGAATGCGGACTCGCCAGAGAATCCACACAGATGGCCGCAAACCCTGGAGAAGGTGTCCTGTCTCGCTCGTAATGGAAATGAGAATAACAATGACGTCGTGGGATTTTCCAGCTTCAGACTGACTGCCCAAAATGCCAAGACCGATTCCGTGTTCTACTGACCGGCTGGTGAGAGAACAGGCAGTGACCATGCGCTTGGCTGCTACGTCCAAAGGTGGACACGTCAGAGGCAACAGCCTGTGCTGGCTGGGTGGGGGTGGCCTGGCAACCTGCCCCTCGGCTTCCATACAGCCCAGGAAGCCCAAGGCCACTCTGCGCTGGCCTGCTGTCCCTCTAGGCCAGAAGGGACTCAAGGGGACACAAAAAGGACACCAAGTGGACACCAATGCCTTTGAAGGGGAAGCTTGGCACTTTGAAAAATAACTTACAATTTGTATATCATTTGAGAAACTCCATTTCTAGGAACTTTATAGTAAATCTATGGCATGTTAACAAAGATGCGCATATAAGGACATTCATTAAAATCCTGCTCTGTATAATAGCAACATTTTTTTAAAAGTTAATTTTAGGGGAGCTCTGGTGGCCTAGTGGCAAGAAGCTGTGCTGCAATCCCAAAGGAGTGCAGTTCGAATCCACCATACGCTTCACTGGAGAGAATGAGGCGTCTCTTCCTGTGCCAGACAGATAGGACTTGACAGCACACACCACCACCACCACCAAAGTTAAAAATGTTAGTGTACAGCACGCAAAACAGAGGGTGTGGTGACGCAGCATACACAGACGAGCACAGCGGACGCCCACCACGCCAAACTGCCGGGCAAGGAGGGCGAGGTGGCCCCCGGGAAGGCGGGTGCTCACCCGTCCAACCCTGTGGTTTTTAGGAGCATGCATTGGTGGCTTGGTGGTCAGGAGCTGCCCTGTCACCCCACAGGCAGGCAGTTCAAATTCACCAGCAGCTCTGAGAGATGGACGGGCCACCTCCTCCTGTGCGACCTGTGGTCAGAAACCCGCGGCAGGGTTTCTCACCACGTCACCACCGTCCTCTGCTTCGCACACTGGACACTAACATCTCTAAATCAACCTGAAAGAAAATTCTGCTATTATGAGCAGTCACGGCCCCAAGGGGCTCTAGTGCGTCAGACGTGAGGGTGGCACGGGACAGGACAGCGTCCACAGGGCTGCTATGGGTCATACCCGACTCAACAGCACCTAATAACTACAATTAGGAGAAGTGTTTCAATGAATTATCTTTATACCCATCTTTGTAAACATACCCAAGTTTTACTGTAAGATAAAATTCCTAGAAATGGAGTTTCTGAGTTGGATCTGACACACAGCACCATGACCAGTGCCGCCACCACCATACCACCACGAGCACCACCACCTCCAGCAGCAACATCACCAGCACCACCTCCAGCAGCAACATCACCAGCACCACCACCTCCAGCAGCAACATCACCAGCACCACCATCACCAGCACCACCACCATACCACCACAAGCATCACCAGCACCACCACCACCACCACCACCAGCACCAGCAGCAGCCCAGCTGAGTGGCCGCCGCGTCCCAGCAGCACTCCTCCTGGACTGGTTCATGAGCTTCATTTCCGGGGTCCTCAGGCTCCCCGCAGTCTTGGAGAACGCTCCCGCGGCTTCTGGCCCAACGGGGTTGTTGGCACGTGCCCTGTTCACAGAGCAGGAAGCTGGGACCCTCACGTACCTCCGTGTCATTGAACCGGTGGGGCTCCAGGCATGGGTTCCACCGCACCGACCGCGGGCATGGCGTGAAGTCCAGAAACGGGTAAATGGACGTTCTGGTGAAGTTGAACCCGTGGATGCCGTCTTCTGGAAACACTATGATCTGTGCGCCCTGCTGGTCAAAGCAGACAGTTGTCAGATGACGGGCTGACCACCTCGGTCCATGACAACAAGAAGCAGTCACTACCCAGCCAGCGACCAGCGGCACCAACACGGCGCTGGACCCCTCAGTCTCAGGGCTGAAGAGGCCTCTCTTGGCCTAGTAACCGCTAGGGACACGGCCAGGAAGGAGCTTGTCTGAGGGGCTCTGTTGGAACGCACGGCTAGAAGGGCCTGGGGTTCAGGTAAGCTGAGGACTGGGCCCAGCCGTAGGTGCCTAAGTCCAGGCACATCAGACTAACCTGACTTGTGCAAATGACAGCTGCTGTGGCCCCGGCCCAAGTCTGCCTCAGCCAGCCGTGGGCAGGGTCCTGGCAACAGTGTTTATGTTTAGAGGCTCCCAGGGGACCCCAGTGTGCAGTCAGAGACGGGCCCAGGGGCTCTGGAGCTGCCACATGTGTGGATTCCAGCATGGAAATAAGGTCCCACGCTGCATCCAAACTCCCGAGAATCCCGAGGGCCCCTCAGGTCCTAAGCCCCCTAATGGCCTTTCCCCACACATCAGGGGCACCCCAGGTCCCCAGCTGGGACAGCCTGGGCCCCATGTGACGTCAGCAGCCAGCCAAGGAAATACTAACAGGGTGGCCCTCAGCACAGGGCGTCATCTGGCCCCACTCTGGGCTGTGAACACCACACCCTCTGTGCTGGCCCTCGGGGGACACTCAAAAATAGCCGGGGTTTGAGTCATTTCTTTCTGGAATGCACTGCAAACTGGAGAATTATTTCTGGTTTCAGTAGCTTCAAAAGTTTAACTGGAAAAGATTAGGAAAACAGGGAGAATGCAGCCCTAATACGAAGGTTATATGAAGGCACGTATTCAGATCTGAGTTCATCGTCCTGCCTTCTCTTTCTACACACCCGCACGTGCTTGTACACATGTGGATCTATGTATACTGTCCATTCCAATCACATTAAAATCACTTCTCAAGCCATCTTGTCGAGGGCCTTCCTCTGACCGTCCACCTGTCCCAGCCTGATGTCATCTTCCAAAGACTGGCCCCTTCTGACAGCATGCCACAGTGTGTGAGACGGGTTCACCCTGCCTGCCTGTTAGAAGCATCCTGGCTCCAGTTCTTCCAGGACAGACTGGTTTGTTCTGGTAGCAGCCATGACATACTCAACACTCGGACCAGCATCACAGGTCAAAGGCATCGAGTCTTCTTCACTGTCTGACTTTCAGGGACCGACAAGCAACTGAAAGGATCATGACTTGGGTCAGGTGCACCTTAGTCTTTAAACTAACAGCCTTGCTCTTTAGCATTTAAAGAGCTCCTAGGTGGATTTCCCCAGTGCACCACATCTTCTGATTTTTTGACTGTGGTGACTGGGTGCTGACTGTGAGCCCAAGGAAAATGGAATGGTCAACAACTTCTGTCTGTTCTCCATCTAGCATGATGCTGGTCCAGTGATGAGTATTTTTGTTTTCCTGATGCTGGGATGTAATCCATACAGAAGGCTGCAGTGTATGGTCTGCAGCAAGTGTTTCACGGCTCCTTCACTTTCTGCGAGGCTGTATCTTCTGCATAAAGGACTCATCACTGATGAGTGGTCCTCCAATCCTGATGGCCCAGTCTTCCTCATAAAGTCCAGCTTCTCCAAGTATTGGCTTTGCATTGATTTAATACAGATTGGATAGCTATGGTGGGAAATGGGCTTTTCTAGCCACTGTCTTAGCGCCGTTGGGCTGGCAGGTATGACAGGTAGCCTTCAGTGCAGGGCAGTTGAGTTACACATTGAAGACGGGAATCTGGAGGGTGTCTCTCAGCTCATGGCAAATGAGCGGCCCAGCGGGTCTGATCTAAATGCCCAGGAAGATTCACGGGCAGTCTCTCCCCCGCACACACACGGTGGGAGGTTTCTTGAATCATCAAGCATTTCCAGTATTGCAGGGTTTGGGGGGAAAGCAGTCTTACCAACGTATGTCTATAACTAACATCATGAGGGAGCTCTGGTGCCTTGTGGTAAGGAACTGTGCTGCCAACTCAAAGACAAGCCGTTCAAACCCACCCACTACTTCATGGGAGAAAGATGGGCGTTCTCCTCCCGTGCAGCTTACAGCCTCTGAAAGCCCGCCGGAGGGTCAGCTGTGAGTGGTCAGACTCCACCGCCACGTACAAGATAATAAACGCGTGGGTTGGCCTTGCATGTCAAGAATCTTCAAAAATGGACCTCTAATGGAGACATATTTCATAAGAGTCTGTACCGGAGTTATCTTTTATCCCAAGGCACCTGAAGTGCTCCCACTTCTCTATATTAGAAGGCACCCAGTGATGGCCATCTGCACAGAGCGCTTGGACCATCTCTGAGAGCCAAACACAGACCGTGGACTCTCATCATGGCGACAGAATTAAACCTGGAAAGGATTACTGTGGGGCAACAGGGATGACAATCATTTGTGAGTCCCTCACAAGCATTTCCAAGGAGCTCTCTAAAAATAGGGTAGCATGTGCCTTCTGGCAGAGGGGGATGCTCACATTACTGCTCCCTGGATACATCAACAGACAGTTCTGAAAACCTGCACGGATCGAGGAGGAAGGCACGTCGTTTCAGTCAGACCGCGGTGCTGCGGGCAGGTGCCTTCAAGGATTATGCCATCACCTCGGGAATCAACCTCCAGAAGAAATCTGACTTTGCTGTTTAATAAAAGCTCCCCAGAGATTAGCATTTGACTGCCCTGTAGGAAACTGGCCAGCTTTATGCCTATTAAATTTATTTCAAATTTATTTACTCAACCAACATACACGGTTTCATTCCTTAAATCTGCTTCTGAAGCAGGATTACCAGTTCAGTAGCTCCCTCCCTCATTATAAACTGAGTACGACCTATGCAGTTCATCCTCTTTTCTGACTGTCTGGCAAACGATTCTATAATATGTGTTACCCTTTATTAAAGATGAAATAAAATGCTGAGAACATTAAATGGCTTATTATGGAGAACAACATTTAGCTCTAGTGTATTAAAATACTATATTTTATTAAATAGTTAAAGTTTATATTTCTATGAAAACACTAATATTTTAATTGGATAAATGTTAAATTTAAATTACATTTCCCGCACACAGCGAGGCCAAGCGTGAGGCAAGGGGCCACACTGAGCCTGGACCCCGGGGCGGCTGTGGCCAGCAAGCCTCTTGAGAAGCAGCGACCATTCTGCAGCGACCTGGGCAGCTGTGTGACCGACCTGAATGAGCTCGAGAGCCCCTCTGAAGGGTTGCAGTCACCACCGAGGCCGGCAGCCAGCCCGGGAGCTCTGAACGGGCTGCACTTCTATTTCCTGCTATGAACACTCGGCCAAGAGACAGGGATTCCAGTTGGCTTCTTCTGGAGCTCTACTCCAGGCCTGATCTGAAGCTCTGACACATGTCTGTCAGGAGGTACCGTCAAGTCCTAAATACCAGTGATAATACCGCTCTGACACGTCCTCACCGCCACTGTGCCTAAGAAGCTGCTTAAACACAACCAGAGTGGATTAAGACACCTGTCGTCAGGTGCCATGGAGTCTAGTATGACTCAGGGACCCTTGGACCAGCAGAGCTGAGCCCTGCCCTGTCCTCACCTCTGATTCACTGTGGAATCAGCGGTAGCCCCTGTGACAGTCACTGGGTCAGTCTGTCCTGTTGAAGGTCTTCCTCTCTGTCTCTGACCCCCCACCCTGTCCACCAGGATGTGCTTCCCCAAGGTCCCTCCTGACCCCACCCCAGAGGATGTCAGATGTGGCTTCACCAGCCTTGCCTCTCAGGAGCACGCTGGCTGACTTCCTCCAGGACAGGCAGGCCCTCAGGACCCGTGGCTGGGCCAGCTCCTGGACCCATCTGTCACAGTGTGCAGGGCCGAGAGAGGCACGCTGCCCCCAACAAGGTCATCTCTCTCCTGGGCACAGTATTCAAATGCCACAGAGTCGGAAGGGGCAAGCAGTCGACTAAGCTAAAGGCGGGGTCTGAATCTGCCCTGCGTTCCGAGGAGGGTGAGGGAAGGCGAGCCTGGCCTGCACAGCTGCCCGGGTCCCCTGGGTGGCCAGGAGGTGAACTCAGCAGGAAGGGTGGGAAGAGAAAGCAGGGTGCTGCCTGGCCTGAGGATATCCACGCCAGGATGCTCAGAGCACAGGGTGGAGAAGGAGGGGTGGTGGCTGTCAGGCAAGGGCCCGCACCAGGCAGGCCTGCGCCACCACCGCCCTGACGGGACTTATCACAAGGCCCGAGGGCACATCAGGGGCTTTGTGAACTGACTTCAGCACAGACACCCAAGGTGTGTCTCCAGCGTGATGGCCTGATGCTGGCGACAGTGCCCCACAGCCCACAGCTGCAGTGACGCGGCGGTGAGGTCGGCTGGGTGAAAGCCACTGCTGTCGTACGCGGGGCCTCAGGACCCACAGTGGACGTGGCTGCCACATACTCCCAGGACAGAGCCTCACTGCGGGGACAGAGCCTCACTGCGGGGACAGAGCCTCACTGCAGGAACAGAGCCTCACTGCAGGGACAGAGCCTCACCG